CAGAATGAACCTGGGATGCAGTCAGCAGGCTGATGCTCTACCCACTGAGCCAAACAGCTACTGTGATAGTGCGAGTATCCCTTTCTTAAACTAGGTGCTAGGTACGTGGGAATTTATTGTATTATTATTCTTTTATAATTTATATATATATTTATCAATAGTATTTTATCTTTATATAATAGTCAATTAAAACAAAATAAAACACACAAAATCCAGCCCCTTGGTAACTGGCTTTTTCAGCTGGACCTCGGCCGGTGCCAAGGGCTCTGCCAGCAGGCTGTTCCCTAACACCACAATTGTGTGTCCTATGACTCATCCTGGCCCCAGGCACCACTGAGCCCTGGTATGTCTGGGGCCTACACTCAGGGAAGGGCCCCTGTGCCTCTTCTCCCCGCTGAGCAGGACAGAAAAACAAAAAGGTGAATGTGTTAGCAGGCATGTTAGCACTGGTAACTAACATTTAAACTGAATTCTTAGCCACATTAAAAGTCTGAATATATTCAACTTAGGCTTAAAGTCTTCTCAAAGCCTCCACGCACAGGTTCTCAGGACCAGGCTGAAGACACTCCTCACTGGGTGCCATGACTCACAGTTGTCATGCCCCAAACAGACACCCCAAGCGTGAGTACTGTGCTGCCGGCACTCGGCACTGAGGGACGGCAGCCAACCCTCTCTGCGGGGCCTTCAGACAGCTGAAATAGCCCAGCCTGCCAGCAACAGCATCCATTACATCATCCAGGTTCCCGGAAACTCCATCCTTATTTTTTGTGCCTCATCACCCCAGAGGGCATAAAATAGCTTATTTCAAGTTTTGAAGAATATGTTTATTTGAATGACTGAATGACTCTGGCTACCAAGCCTGAAACTTTGACCATGGAACTATGCAGAAGACCTCCTTCCCCACATAATTATTACTTCTGATAACTACAGTGCTATTTTTATTTACACGGTCTCAAACTTAAAACACTCATGATATTCTCCCCATTTGACAGATGAAAAAATGGGAGGCCCAGAAAAATTAAATGATTTGCCTTAAAACACACAGGAAAGCCAGGAATGAGACTCGGGCCAGTTTGGGCCAGACTGTGTTCGGCAATATGGGATGAAAGATGTTACCTGAGGGAGAGATGCTCTGTGCAGGAGATAGCTAGGAAAAAAAGTACTCTACTTTCAGGGAAAGAGGTTCGATGTCCCCAAGACCCACTATGTCACAAACTGGGTATGTTCACGTGTTTGGTGGCTTCATGATTTGTCATTAGCTACTCTCTGCCAAGGGGCCCCACTCTGACCCTGAGCCCGCTGGACTGGGTGATTCTTATCTGTGCAATGAGGATGTCACAGGCAGAAGATGCCACTTCCTCCTCCCAGTCAGGCAGGACTGGTCATCGCCCCACCAGGCCATCACCTGCAAGAGCAGGCCTGCCTGGCCCGCCCACTCAGCTGTGTACCTTGCTCAGAGGCCACTCTTACAGGCAGGTTTCTTTCTGGCAGCTGGTCAGTTTCACTTCCTGGTTGACTCCCAGACAGCTCCAAAACAACAATAAAAAGTCACTCCCTCTGAAGCCTGCCCTTCAGAATTCATTCCTGACACCTTGCTACACACCCACTGTAGGCAAGGAAAGTTCAACAGCTTCCTTTCCATTCTGGTTAGAGAATCAGGTGGTGTTGGGCCGCTGACACTGCCTCTTTATTAGAGGTTTAAAACCCCCATCCACAAACATTTGCCGAGTTGTGCTGTGTGTCAGGTTTGATCCTAGGTGTTGGGGACACAGAGGCAAGTGAATCATGAGCCTACGGAGCCCACAAACACTGAAAAGAACCCACACAGAGGGCTAAGGGCCCCCGAGGGGAACACTGGGGGCTAGGAAGCACAACTAGATCCCCACTCCGTCACCTTCTGAGCAGGGGATGATCAGAGATTAAAGGGGTTTTCACGTGGGCAGGAAATCCAGTATTGCCATCTGTCTTCTATAGACCTTCGGGTGCAGCTCTTAGAAACGGTTCAAAGCCCTAGGTCTAGCATTGCACTAATATGATAGCCTTCACCAGGTATGGCTTAAGGTTAATTTAATCTGAATTAAAAATTCAGTTTCTTAGTCACACTAGTGGCTACTCTATTGGACTGTGCAGACATAGGGCACTTTCATCATCACAGAAAGTCCTATTGGACAGTATTGGCTAGAGGCTCACAGATCTGGATTCCAATGCTACCCCTTCCACTAACCAGACACGTGACCTTGAACAAGCGGCTCTACCTTTCTGTACCTCAGTTTTCTCATCTGCAAAATGGGGATACTTTCCTCAAAGGCTGGAATGAAGATAAAATGAGGTCATGCATGTAATACTCTTAGGACCACAATGACCAGGTACATAGTAAGTACTCAATAAATGGTAGTTATTTTTATTTTCATCATTAGTTCATAGCACCAAGGAGGCAGTTACTGTGCCTCATGTCACTGCCATGCCCATCAAATGCCCATCAATTCCTTTTTCCCTGGCTGCTTCATCCAAGGCTAGGCTGACACATACCGGCCACCAGGGGATAAGAGGCAGGAATGAATACTCACATCTGTAGAGATGGTTCCACACGGGGAAGAAGGCCATATAGAGGGCCACATCCCCCACTGTTGGGTAGGACTTGAAGATGGAGATGATGGCAATCTGGATGAACATGAAGAAGATAGGGTGCTCCCTGGGGTAGGGCAGGACAGACATACAGACAGAGATCAGTCAGGCACCGGGCCCACCCCTGAAACTCCTGACTCTATCCCTCAAACCCAAAACTACTCTCCAGGGAACTTCAGGCAAGGGCTGACTCTGCTACCCATAAGACACTGGGCCCAGGTCAAGTAGCAGAGCCAAAAACTGTGTGGAAGGCTGTCGTGGCTCAGTGTTTGAGTGTCGACCTATGAACCAGGTCATGGGTCCATTCCCGGTCAGGGCACATCCCTGGGTTGCAGACTTGATCCCCAGTAGGGGTGTGCAGGAGGCAGCCAATCAATGTTTCTCTCTCATCGTTGAAGTTTCTATCTCTCCCTCTCTGAAATCAATACAAATATATTTAAAAACAAACAAACAAAAATCTGTGGGGACCCAGAGATGCCCAAGGTGGTAAGGAGGCTCAGCAAACACTAGAGAAACAGCGCACAGAGACATTTCCCATCACCCTCCCCACAACCAGCCCCCAGGAGCCACCAAGAAAAAACAAATGAAGTCAGCCGTTCTTTATTACTGGGCTTAAAAGCCTGCTTGTAACTAGGTAGTCTCCCTGGCCAGAGGCCCCTCTGACAACTGGACGCAGGGCAGGAAGTGCTGCCTTGCTGATGCTTTTCCTCTGACAATTGGGTCAGTGGGGTCTACAGGCCCTTAGCTACGATGAACTCTTTTCCAGAAAGAGAACTGAGAGCTGGGCAGCTTTTCAGCTCGTAAGGGCTGGAACTGGAGTTCTTGTTACCTTAAGCTAATAACAAAATGGATACCATTCCCTGAACCCTTGCTCTGCTAAGCTCTGTGCTGGGCCTTTTCTTACAGTGTTGCACGTGATCCTCACTACACCTCAACTGCCCCTCGAGGTAGGCAGTGTTGTCACCTGCACTGTGCAGATGAGGAAATCAGGTTCAGGAAAGTCGAGCTAGCTAGTAAGCGAATGAGCTGTTTGTCTTCAGAACACCTAAGCACCACCGATACTGTTCTCCTGAGTGCCTAGCACAGTGACAGCTCTGATCAGGCAGGGCGGGGACAGAGCTCAGTCTCCAGTGTTCCTCCAAGAGCTGACCAATGCAAAAGGGAAGCAAACAGAAAGAGGCCAGATCTACACCCTTGTTAGCTATTTCTAAGCAACATGCATGTGGCCTACATCTGCACAGTTCCTGGATGCCCAACTTATGGAGGTTTTCTTCAGAGGTTAATGGCATTCTTGTCTTGCAGGTCAAAGGTCAGGGTGACTCAATGGGTGTAAATCTGACAAACATGAAAATCCAATAAACATGTACACACCCAAACACTCCAATCCGTCTACAGAGCAACTACAGAAACACAGCTTGGCAAAGTCACGCAACCCTGTAGCTTCTAAGGGTTCAGCTACCTCAGTGATCATCTTCCTAAAGATAATCCAAATCACTGGCTTTGGCTTTTTAGGTAGCTGGTAACAGCTGCAACATTTCTTTGAAAAGACCAGTAAAAATGTAGTGCCAACAAGGATGGAGACCAGAACCTCCTGCGACACTGCCTAGAGACAGGTGGCCTGCAGGGCCCTGTTCCCACACTGGAAGCAGACACTGCAGGGAGCTTCATATCCTGGCACAGGAGGGCAGCAGTGGGGGAGGTCAGGTATCTTCATATGCTCTGTCCCCACACTTCTGAGCCTGGTGGTGGTGGTGGGGTTTCACATAATTGTGGTGCTGCTGTCTAACTAGGAACTATCTGTGGCCTTTCACCTGTTGACCTAACACATCTTGAGTCCCCTTGAGCGAACTGTCACTGGGCTGCTGATACAGGACACCCAATAAAATTCACTTTTTCCAAAGACAACCTGCAACTCCAACCTCTGCTGTTATCCAAAACAGTGAGTGGACTCAGCAGCAGTGTGGGCGCAAGTGCCCCAAAGTGAGGCCAGGAGAAATATCAGGGTGCTCCCTGAAGCCTGCACTCATGTGTGACTCTATTGTTGGCTATGGCCACTGACACCCAGGGCGATTGAGGGCAGGTTCCCTGGGCAAAGATGGCAGAAACCTAATAGCAGATGCTCCCAATCTGAAAGGCACCTGCAAGGCTACAAATGGTTCTCGGAACAAAGAAGGAGCAGGTCCAACCACTTACTTCAGCTTAATGGCTAAGGGGATGGTGTAGAAGAAGACGTTGATCTGAAACACACACACGAAGAAGAGGCTGAAGTGCTCAAACATCTCTGCAAAGAAGTACCAAAAAAGACCAATGTTTGGAGTGAGATCTGGAACAGAAAGTCTGGAGTGAAGAAAACAAAGGGAGAGAAAAAAGAGAGCAAAGTTATAAATGGTCTGCTTTAACCTGGTTTTCTGCTGAAGACGCTGATCACTACTAGGCTGTGAAGAATGACTTTGTCTCCACAGAGGTCAGGCTGTGAGGGGCTCTATAGGCACCCTGGATGTAGGTAATTAACAAAAACAAGGGGCCGAGAATGACAACCTATAATAAATATTAGCTGAGCCAAACTCTGGCATGTATCAAATATCTGAAATGAGGCAGGGATTCATGCTAGAAATAAAAAGACCAGCTCCTATTGTGCTGCCAAGACATATATGTTTAAAATTAGGAGATACTCAGTACTGTAACAAAAGAGGAATGGGTTCTACATGAACAGGATCTATTTGGGGCATTCCAAAGACTTGCCTAGAGGAACAAGCTCAAAGATTCTGCTCCTCCTCATTCCTGCTCAGCATCCCACAGCAGGAGCCACTGCAGTGAGACTTCTAGGGGCTAAGGAATCATCAGCAGATTCTGGCGAGGATACCAGACCCCATTTGAGAAGTACGGGTTTAACTGGAAAACTTTTTGTTGAGTTGTATCAGATAAAAATTGGCTGCAATTCTGGCTCTTCTAAAAATTTACATTATATTTTTATTTGAAAAAATATGGAGTGGAAACTGATGTCATTCACAATTTTAAAAGGGGAACATATGGAGCATGAAGAACAAATAGGGAAGGACTCGTGGTCAGATTTCACTAACACAGCTTCCCCCAGGGCAAGGCCTTGCCTTCTGCTGTAACTACATTTCCTCATCTGTGAAATGAGGTACAGAACACAGTCTGTGGCCAGCAGAAAACCAGGAAAGGCTTTTCACTCCTATCCAAGGCGTTACAAATTCCTATTCAAGGCAGAGCATGAAGAGCTGAAAGTTACTAAGATATTGTTATATTCAGCCAGGATTTAACACAAATTAGCAGCCCAGAATCCCCAAGGGGAGTCTGCCACTCCAGATCCCTTCCCCACCCTGGTTTAAGTGTCTACCACCCCACTGGGCTGTGAGCTCCTTGAAGCTTGGGCAGTGGCTGCCTGCTTTAGTATACCATACAGAGAGCGTTTGGAAATGTCTGCAGAATTCTTACTGCAAACCCATTTTGATTTTTTCTAAAAAGGTTGACACGTGGGAGGTGGCTTTATTTTAAAGAGACCCTCTTGTAGTAAAGGAATACATCCATTCCTCTTTGGGACTGAACCAAAACCTTCTAGGCAGAGGCTGGCAGTCGCTTTGGATGTTCCTAGAGAATGCACTAGATCAAATATATGCCCTAGACCAGTGGTTCTCAAAGTGCGTTTCCTGGACCAGCAGATCAGCATCACCTGAAAACTTGTTAGAAATGCAAATTCTTGGTCCCTACCTCAGACTTACTAAAAACCTCTAGAAGTGGGCCCAGCAATGGGGGCGTTAGCAAGCCCTGAAGGTAATTCTGATGCACACTAAAGTTGAAGACCACGGTGTCTAGATGCTCCCTGTGGTTGCTCGCACTCTGATTCCAGCTGGAGTTGTGAAAACCAAATTAGCTTCCAGAGTTTTCTAATGAGATCATTACTTACATGAAGCCGTAGACTGCAGGGATGAAATCCCAGGAGCTGAGAAGGAAGAAGGAGAGGCAAATGATTACCACTAGGCTTCCCATGTACATCATGGCATACTCCCAAGAGAAGATCCAGAAGGCTTTGCTCTTTACTTTCACAGGGATGTACTGCCGCTAGGAGAGAAGGCAAAACGGTACATTTAGGGAGGTCAATAATAGAGGGCAGTTATCACTTTAAACTTCAAGATCTGTCCTGCAAAACACGGGAAATAAAAAGGTTGAAAATCAAAGGATTGAAAATATATACTAGGTAAACACTAACTAAAAGAAAATTAGTTTGGTTATACTGTTACCAGATAATAAACTTTAATGTAAAAAGTATTACAGAGATAAGGATGCTCCATAATCATAAAAAGTGCTAGTCATCAGAAAGATTTAACATTTCTAAATTTTTATATATATAATAACACAGTCTCAAAATATATAAAACAGACATGGACAGAGCTACAAAGGAAAAACAGACAAATTAATCATCAGTGTATAATTGAAGAGATCAAACAGACAAAAACCAGTAACCAAGTGGCACATGTGAATAGCATATTTAATAAATTTGGTCTCATGAGAGCTTATAAAATATAACACTCCCAGGTAGCTGATTGATGTTTGTTTCTCATCATTGATGTTTCTATTGCTCTCTCCCTCTCCTTTTCTCTCTGAAATCAATAAAAATATATTTTTCCCTAAGAACAGGAACAAGACAGGGATGTCCCCTTTCACCACTCTTATTCAATAAAAAAATATTTTTAAAAAATGATGAGAGAGAATCATTGATCACCTGCTTCCTGCATGCCTCCACCGGGGATCGAGCCCACAACCCAGGCATGTGCCCTGAGCGGGAATTGAACCGTGACCTCCTGGTTCATACGTCAACATTCAACCTCTGAGCTACACCACTGGGCTGGGGACATTTATTTATTTATTTTTTAAAAATCTATCCTTTTGAGAGTACTTACAGAGTCCCCCCCCCCCCCCCGCAATGTCCCCCTCTACCCAGTTCCCACCCCAGGCCTTCACCACCCTATTGTCTGTGTCTACAGGTTCTTTAATCTCTTCCCACACTCTCCCCCCACCCCCCCCCCCCAAGATTCACCATTCTGTTCAACGTTTCCATGCCTCTAGTTCTATTTTATTCATCAACTAGAGGCCCAGTGCATGATATTCATGCACGGGGGGTGGGGGTGTGTGTCCCTCAGCCCGGCCTGCACCCTCTCGCAGTCTGGGACCCCTCAGGGAATGTCCGCCTGATAAAGAGCAGGCCCAGCCAGTTTCATAGGAAAGTTCTATCAACATACAAGGAACAGATGACTGTAATATTAAATTAACTCATTCATAGCAAATAATATAAGCTTGATACCAAAATCACTTAACCAATACAAATGCAAAAGTGCTAAATGAAATATTATGTAATATAATTCAGCAACACATGAAAAAGATCATGATAAAGTTGTGTTATAACTAGGTTGAGTTTTTTCCAAAAATTCAAGGTTAGTTCAACATAAGAAAGCTGTTAATATATATATATATCTCACAAACAGCTTCAAGAAATCATATTAGTATCTAGATATATGCAACAACTATTTATGATGAAAATAACAACAAAAAAATTCAGTGAAGTGGCAGGGTAAAAAATTAACACAGAAATAGCTTTCAAATGCACAAATAATAAAAAATTAGAGGACACAATGGTAGATGAAACCACATTTATAATAACACCAAAGAAAATAAAACTCAGATTTAAATTTAACAGGAAATGTGCAAAACCTATTCAAGGAAAATTTTAAAGCAATCCTGAAAGACACTAAAATCAACTTGAACCAATGAACAGATATCTCCCATTCTTGTTTAGAATGATTCAACATTATAAATATGTCAGTTCTCCTTAAATAGATTTATAAATTAAATTCAATAATGCAATCCCAATAAAAATGTCAAATAGCTACTTTATGGAATTATACAAAACAATGTAAAGGTCATATGGAAAAACAAACATGCAAGAATAGCTAGGAAAACAAGTGATAAGGAAAAATCATGAAGTGTTGACTAGCCCTATCAGACATTAAAATACACTATAAACCTCTATAATTAAAACAGTGTAATACTGGCACATATACTGTATAGACAAACAGACTAGTGGAATAGAACAAAAAGTCCAGCATTATACCAAAATACTTATTTTTTAATAAATGGTGCCAGGACAATTTAGGTAGCCATTTGGAAAAAGATAAAATCAGACCTATATCTCACACCATTGTTGTAGTAAACTCCAAATCAATTAGGGATGTAAATATTTTTTTTAATGAAAGCATGAAATGTTAGAAAAAGCATGGTAAAACTGTCTTTAACTATGATGTAGGGGAAAGCTAAAATATCCAGAGGCAATAAAAGACTGATTAAATTTGGTTACATTACAATGAAAAGTTCTGTGCAACAAAATCACTATAAATAAAATGAGAATATATGTCCACACAAAAACTTATACATGAATGTTCATAGCAGCATTATTCATAATAGCCTAAAAGTAAAAACAATCCAAATGTCTATCAACTGAATGAATGAATAAATAAAATATAGCATACTATAAGAATACTATACTAATGGAATAGTGTTTGGCAATAAAAAGGAATGAAGTACTAATAATACATGCTACAACAGAAATGAACCTTAAAAACCTCATGCTAAATGAAAGAAAAGCCCACATATTGCATGATTCCATTTATATGAAACTAGAGGCCTGGTGCACGAAATTCATGCAGGGGCGGGGGGTGTCCCTCAGCTTGGCCTGCACCCTCTCCAATCTGGGACCCCTTGGGGGATGTCCGACTGCTAGCAGTCCGGGACCGCTGGCTCCTAACCGCTTGCCTGCCTGCCAGCCTGATCGCTCCCTAACCGCTCCCCTGTCGACCTGATTGCCCCCAACTGCCCTCCCCTGCCGGCCCAATACATAAACAAAGTCAAAAGACAACTGAAAAACTAGAAGAAAATATTTGCAAAGGTTTAATACATAAAGTGTATTAATACTTTTAATACATAAAGTGTACAGTTTCTTTCAGGATTGTGTCTTTTAATACATAAAGTGTATAGTGTCTTTCAGGATTGCTCCCCTGTCGACCTGATTGCCCACAACTGCCCTCCCCTGCCAACCCGATCACCCCCAACTGCCCTCCCCTGCTGGCCCGATCGCCCTCAACTGCCCTCCCCTGCCGGCCCGATCGCCCCCAACTTCCCTCCCCTGCCGCGACCCGCCTCCTCTGCCGGGATCTGCCTCCTCTGTGCTGCACGGAGCCGTGGGACTACCAGGTCTCACCATGTGGGAGCAGCCGCCAGGCCCTGCCTCCGCTGTGCGTGTGGCTATCTTTGTGGTGGCCATCTTGTGATGACGTTGCGCGAGGGCATGAGGACCACCTAGGCTTTTATTAGTATAAATGTGCAGGATAGAGGGCTGGAGGTGAGAGGGCACTGGGAGAAAACAGAGTGACTGCTAATGGATATGGGGTTCCTTTTTGGGTGATAAAAAGTTGTAGAATTGATTGTGGTTATGGCTGCACAACTCTGTGAATACACTAAAAACAATTAAACTGTACAGTTTATTTTTTTAAAATATATTTTATTGATTTTTTACAGAGAGGAAGGGAGAGGGATAGAGAGTTAGAAACATCGATGAGAGAGAAGCATCGATCAGCTGCCTCCTGCATACCCCCTACTGGGGATGTGCCTGCAACCAAGGTACATGCCCTTGACTGGAATCGAACCCGGGACTCTTCAGTCCCCAGGCCGACGCTCTATCCAGTGAGCCAAACCGGCTAGGGCTAAACTGTATACTTTAAATAGGTAAAAATGTATGGTATATAAAGTATATCTTTTTTTAAAATATATATTTTATTGATTTTTTTACAGAGAGGAAGGGAGAGGGATAGAGAGTTAGAAACACCGATGAGAGAGAAACATCGATCAGCTGCCTCCTGCACACCCCCACTGGGGATGTGCCCACAACCAAGGTACATGCCCTTGACCGGAATCGAACCTGTGACCCCCCAGTCCGCAGGCCGATGCTCTATCCACTGAGCCAAACCAGTCAGGGCAGATAAAGTATATCTTGATAAATAATAAAAGCTGTTAAAGGAAAAAAAACTATAAACAAAGTCAAAAGACAACTGAAAAACTAGAAGAAAATATTTGCAAAGGTTTAATACTTTTAATACATAAAGGATTCTTAAAAATTTAGAGAAAAAGTATCTAAATCCAACAGAAAATGAGGAGGGGGGAGGAATAAACAGACAATGCACAAATATGAAAAAAATGTTCAAACTCACTTATATTTAGAGAAATGCAAATTAAGACAACACTGAGACATCATTTCTCATGATTAGGCTGGCAAAATTTTTAAATGTAACAACACATCTTGTTAGTGAACCTGTGGGGAAACAGGTCCTCTCCTACTTTACTGGTGGGAATAGAACATTTGTATATGCTTTCTGGAGGGAAATGTGAAAAGACCTGACAAAACTACACATGCACTTATCTTTGGATCCAGTAATTTACTTCTAGAAATCTACCTGGAATTCAAAAATACACCTCCAATAATACAAGAGTACACATACACAAGGTTACTCATTGAAGCATTAATTTAAGTGCAAAATTCTGGAAACAATCTAAATTCCCATATACTGAAGAGAAGTTAACACACAATGAAGTACTATGCAGCTGTAAAAAAAAAAAAAAGAATAAGGAATATCTCTCTGTTTCAATAATTTCCAGGAAATAATGTTAAGTGGAAAAAGCAGAACACAAAAAGAGTATCTAGTATACAAGAAAGAAGGGGAGGATGTAAGAAAATATATGTGTGCCCTGGCCGGTGTGACTCAGTGGTTGAAGCATTGTCCTGTGGACTGGAAGGTCACGGGTTCGATTCCGGTCAGGGCACATACTTGGGTTGCAGGTTTGATCCCTGGTCGAGGCATCTATGGGATGTTTCTCTCTCTCTTCTCCTCTCCTCTCTCCTCTCCTCTCTCCTCTCCTCTCTCCTCTCCTCTCTCCTCTCCTCTCTCCTCTCCTCTCTCCTC